ATTTCTTACTCATGGTTCAAAATCAGTTTAATGTAACACCTAAATGCATTCGTTCTGATAATGGCTTAGAGTTTTTTAATAGAAATTGTCATGATTTGTTAGCAAACTTAGGTATTCAGCACCAGAGTTCATGCATTTACTCTTCACAACAAAATGGTATTGTGGAGAGAAAACACAGACACATTTTACAGGTTGCTAGAGCCTTAAAGTTTCACTCAAAATTACCACACACACTTTGGGGCTATTGTATTCAAACAGCAGTCTATTTAATTAATAGGTGTCCAACCCCTGTCCTCAAAGGTCTCTCTCCTTTTGAAAATTATTTGGCAAACCTTCTTCCTTGACACATTTGAGAGTCTTTGGTTGCTTAGCTTATTCCACAATCCTTACTTCCAAAGACAAATTTACCCCTAGGTCCATTCCATGTGTTTTTGTAGGATACTCCTTAAATAAAAAGGGATATTTGCTGTACAACTTAGACACCCATACAATTCATACCACCTGAGATGTGACCTTTTATGAACATATTTTTCCTTTCAGCTTGTCCAAAACAGATTTTTCAGTTTTTCCATCTGATTCTTTTCTAGAAATAGATTGTTCCAATACACATCTTTCATAACCTTGAATACATGTAGATGTTTTTCTAGATCATACATCAGATCCAGTTGTGTCTCCTGACTCAAATATACCTTCAACAACAGATTCTCCTATCACAAATACAGATTCTACAGCTGATACTTCAGTTCAGCCCTTTTCCATACCTTTAAGGAAATCCACCAGAATTACAAAACCTCCAATCTGGACTACAGACTACCGTCCTACACTTCCCTTTTCCTCACAAACTCACTTACTCAAATATCCAATTTCAAATTTTGTAAATTACAGTCACCTTTCACCCACTTACCAAGCCTGCCTTAACAAAATTTCTTCCCTTACTAAACCAGTTAATTTTTCCCAAGCATCCAAAGATCCTAACTGGGTAGAAGCTATGTCAAAGGAAAATAAAGCTTTAGAGAACAATCATACTTGGTCATTGGTTCCATTGCCCCTTGGTAAAAGTCCCATAGGATGTAAATGGGTATACAAATTGAAGTTTAATGCTGATGGCACCTTGGAGAGGTATAAAGCCTAGTTGATGGCTAAAGGTTACACACAATAGGCTGGAATTGATTATGAGGAAATATTCTCCCCTGTTGTTAAAATGTTAACTGTCAGGACCATTCTTTCTTTAGCTTCAATTTATGATTGGCCCTTATATCACCTTGATGTGGATAATGCATTCTTATAAGGTGATTTATCAGAGGAGATTTATATGTCTTTGCCTCAAGGTTTCCATAAACCTTCTGGACAGAATTTGGTTTGCAGACTTCACAAGTCCTCATATGGACTTAAACAGGCTTCTCGAGCCTGGAATTTTAAACTCACTTCAGCCTTGATTCAGGGAGGATTTTCCCAAGCAAAATCAGATTATTCCCTCTTCATCAAAAGACATGACACTCACATTGTGGTGATTCTAGTTTATGTTGATGACATAATCATCACTAGGATTAATTTAGATCTAATTCATGATACAAAAAGGTTAATTCAGTCGAATTTTAAGCTTAAGGATCTTAGACTGCTTAGATATTTCCTTGGTTTAGAGGTGGCTAGGTCTGATAAAGGAATTTCCATTTGCCAACGCAAGTATGCTTTAGAATTAATTTTCTGCTATTGGTTTATCAAGTGCTAGACTTGCTGTTATTCCTATTGACCAGCACATTAAGTTCACCTCTTTGGAATATGATAAGCAGTTCAATGTTCCTGGACATCCCTTACTAAAAGATGCTTCCGCTTATCAGCAATTAATTGGTAAACTGCTATACTTATGCATGACTCACCCTAATTTAAGCTATTCAGTCCATTTGTTGAGTCAGTTTATGCATGCTCCTAAGGATTCACATATGCAGGTTGCTTTAAAGATTGTGAAATATGTTAAATCTGCTCCTGGTTTGGGGTTATTTTTTCCATCAACTGGTTCATTGCAGCTTTCTACCTACTGTGATTCCGATTAGGCTTCTTGTTTGCTTACAAGAAGATCCATCACTGGATTTTGTGTATTTTTAGGATCCTCTCTTATCTCCTAGAAATCTAAAAAACAAGTGATGGTTTCTCGATCATCTTCTGAAGCTGAGCATAGGGCCATGGCTTTCGCAGTTTGTGAAATTGTTTGGTTGGTACAATTGTTGACGGAACTTGGTTATCCTCTTTTGTCTCCAGTTTCCTTGTTTTGTGATAACCAGTCAGCCTTGCACATTGCTTCGAATCCCATATTTCATGAACGCACTAAGCATATTGATATAGACTGCCATATTGTCCGAGAGAAACTGCAGGCTGGTCTTATTCAAACTCACTATGTTCTTAGTGGTGATCAAAGGGCAGACATATTTACTAAAGCACTTGGCAGTCAGCTCCATCATCACCTTTTATCCAAGTTGGGAGTAGGGCTATATATGAGCCGAGCCGAGCCGAACACTACGGTGTTCGAAGCTTGGCTCGTGAAAATTTAACGAGCTCGAGCTCGAGCTTGGGTTCGACGAGCTCTGAAAACCAAGCTTGAAGCTCGAGTTAGTTAAATATTTTGAGCTCGAATTCAGCTCACGAACCACTCGTTTATGAGTCCTCAATCCAAAGCAATCCATCAACAATCCATCAAAATAGCCCCAATACAAAGCCAACCCACTAATCATCACCAACCATCATCAGATCCAAAGCCAAATAGCCACAAATATATGACTCAAAATTCCATCAACTGTGAGAGATAGAAGAAAAGAGAAGAGGAAAGAAAAGAAAAGCAAAGAGGGAAAAGGAAAGAGATGGAAGAGTGAAGGAGAAGTAAGAAGAAAGGTAAAGAAGAAGGAAAAAGGAGGAGAAAAAAGATGAAGAAAAGGGAAGGAGAAAGTAGCAGTGCTGGAGAAAGAAGATAGGGTTTAGGAAGTGGGATAATTTATATTGGATATAGTAAATTACATATAACCCCCTAATACTTAAAAAAATAGCACTTATACCCTTTCGAGCCATTCACGAGCGTATCGAGCCGAGTAGTAGGTGGTTCGTAGCTCGGCTCAAAAGAGTACTCGAGCCACTTGAGCTCGAGCTCGGCTCGAAAAAGTTGAGCCGAACCTGGCTTGCTCGAGCCAAGCAGCGAGCTACTCGCGAGCGGCTCGACTCGCTTACAGCCCTAATTGGGAGTGTTGAATCTTTATCACTCACCACCTTGAGTGGGGGTATTGAAGAATACACGTCAATTACACTTAAGCTCAGCTTACAGCTTTCATTAATATTGTTTTAGTTAAATATTGTTATAGTTAAATGTAACTATAGTTAACTGAACTGGTGGAGTTAGTTAGTGGAGTTGGTTAGTTGAATTAGTTAGACTTTACTTTACTAAAAGACACTGTACATAACTTTGTGAATTGATACAATTGAGGAATTCTTCTTCTTCTTCTTCTTTCTACAATTTTCCTCTCTATCAAAATCTTTTAGGTTTAATATATAAAATTTTAAAGTAATACTCTTGGGCTCCATATTTTATCCAGTTAGACCCCAATTATTATTATTACAATTTATCCCTTATTAAAATTACTAAATACAAATCTAAAAATTTTTATTTTCTCTATCAATCATAAACTCTATTTCAATAAATGCTAATTTTATTTTCAAACAAGACATATAGAATTTATGTAATTGAAAAAGTTTAATCAAGATCATGGACAGTACTAAATTCTTTGTTTTGTTTTGTTATTTATTTATTTATTCCTTTACTTTTTCTTCTTTTACACTTCTCCAAAATTTATAAGTTAGTTTGTTGTATTCAAATTTATTAATTATTATTCTTATAATGTTGGAAGTAATAACACATGTGAATAGACTCATCTTTGAGCATTACATTTAAAACAAGGTGTATAAAATTAATTAAAAATATATATAAAAAAGGGGGTTCTTTATGAAGTTTTGAGGTTTATAAAGACATTTGCATGTGGTAAAACATTTTAATGGGGTAAACTTAAAAAGTAAGTAAAAAATTTATTGGTTTGTAATAATAAAACTGAATCAACCAATTATTAGGGAATTGATTTTTGGCCCCTGCCATTTCTGTTTAGCCCCCATCTTTTTATAGTATTAAAAAAGTTCTATTCTTCTCCCTCCTCCTTTAATTCCAAAGCTTTAAAAATTAGATGAAATTTAAGTCAATAAGAATTCATAATTTCAATAGTAAGTTGAAACTCACGATAATTATCAAATTACTCAATATTTCTTCTTCTGTCATGAATCAAACCTCATAGTTTTCTATATCTAAAGCAAATACTATTTTATTTGATCTCTTCTTTTAGAGTGTTCCATATTAGTTTCTTCCTTCTTCTTTTTGTACTTTTTTTTTGTTTTCTTTCTAAGTTTTTTACTTGGAAAAGCTATTGAGAATTACATTGTTTAAATAAATAGAAAACTAATCATATAGCTAATTTGAATCAAACAAAGTGTTTATATTAGGTTTTGGAGTGTTTTTAGAGTTGTCAAACTTTAGAAAGTGAACAATTATTCATGGAATAGCCTGTTTGAGAATTGAAAGTCAAGAGTCAATAGATCTGAATGACAAAGTCAGTGTCCAAAATCATTTGCTACCAACACTACAGAAGAGTCTGAAGAACATTTTATAGTTGATTTTAATGGAAATCAGCAAATAGAATCACTGTACAAGTATGGCAATGACACCATCTGTAAAAATAATCTTCTTTGTTTTTTTCATGATATTGCATTGCAATGTCTACTAGCTATGTCCCTTGCTATATGATGGTCGAAAATGCCGCATTGTAATTTAATTTGTGACACAAAGAAACCCCGAATTGCCATGAAATTCTTTGCAAAAAAAAAAAAGCGCCCAACCATGCTTTGAGAAAATCATACATAAAATTTCTGCGAGTAAACGAATTCTGAAAGCCACTGCAATACATGAAACGTAGAGCCAATGCATCGTGTGCATCAAATTTTACATACAACACAAAATATATGAGTTTTTCAACGACACTACAATCAGCAGAAATGTCAACTACTCTAGAGCATTACTTAAGAAACTCAATTACACAGCTCCTCCGTCTTAAACAAAACACTTGAAACCGATCAATAATCTTCTTTCGCGTCTTCGAATTTGGCGCAATGGTCTCTGAACAGATTATTGTTATCTTCTCCAGCACCATTGCATTTTGCAATAAATGTCTTAGAAAATATACATCCTCCACCACATTCGGGCAAAATCCTGTCAAGATCAGAGTTTTCAAGCAAGATAGAATCGTAGTGCCTGAGGGTACAATATGAAAATACCAATGACGGCTTCTGATTCCCTATATTACAGTAAAAACTTAACGATTAGTAAAGGTCCCCTGTCTCATAAAATAATCCATCGAACCTAACAGATCAAAACTATCTATATAAGCAAAAACTAATGACTAGATACTAATCCTGAAAAACTTACCATTGGCATCTCAAGAGATTCTAAATTAGTTGACTTCCTAAGAATGTGCAGCAACTCTGCGCTTGTGTGCCTATGCACACTATTCACCTTCAAATGAGTTAAGTTACCAAATACAGGAAGAGGAACACGAAAGATATCATAGCTGGCAAAAATCTGGTCACAACAACAGAACAAAAATTAGACTTCAAAGGTACAAAATGAACATAATAACAAACATCTAACTACATAAAAGATGAACATAATAGACTAAAGAAGAGATTATCACAAAAGCCAACCAGCTTTGCATTACTGTTACAGATGAAAATCAATTTTTAAAATCCATAGATCCCATCAGGCAACAGTGGCTTTTGTGATGTATTTTGAAAAAAAAGTGTTACCCAACTGGAAGGGTACGATTTGACACCGTAAGAGATTTGACTTTGCAAACTCCACCAAGTAGCTTTATTGCGCGTTCATGAACTACTACATCCATGTACTTCATACCCTGAATATCAATATATGCATCGACCAGTGACGGTAAGTTGCATAGAAAAACTTCACCGGATAGATAATTTATGCATTTGAGAGAGGTAAGCTTTGGAGCAGAAATCCTAACAGAATCATAAAAACCATGTGGAAATGGTTGAAGACAGTCGCGGGAAATAGTCAATGTCCTTATATTAGGAACAGAAATTGTGATTATATCACTATGCCTCCATACACAATTGTGTAAAACCAACTCTTGGAGAAGTGGACAACCAGAAAAAAGATTTTCAGTGGATCTGTCATATGGAAATGTAGCTGTAACATGTAAGGTCGTAAGGTTGGTCATGTGTATGAGATCAGGAAAGATAAAGATTGAATTCATCTGTAATTTCAATTTCTTAAGTAATTCACAAGTAAACAGGTTATCTGGCAACACAACGGGTACTTCATTAGGTAGGGAAAGATCAAACTCTTGAACCTGGCACCTTACTGCAGCAGCAATCCATGTAGTAACACGTAATGGACAGACACTTAAATCTAATTTCAGATGGAATTTTTGTATGTTTGAAGAGTCATGAAGGAGTAATAGTCTTTCCACCGAATTCACAAAGTTAGTATCCGCCAGAAATGGCCTGCACAACAGACTATTCTCAAAGAAATCAAGATCTGAAATGGAAGTCCAAAGATATCTCCATCTTTTAGACAATAGAGAAGTTCTTAACACATCTTCAATTGGAAGTAAGGAAAGAATTTTATGCAAGATACTGTCAGGCATTTTGCTGATCTTATCTTCGCCTTTATCAGCATCCTCTCCCATCAAAAACTTCCTGCGCTTGAATTTGTGTATTGAAATTGTATCATCCATCCTGGCTATTCTCTCCCTGATAAAAAGAATTAAAACCAGTATAAAATTATGATAAACTCATACTTAGATTTTCAACTATCAGAATAAGAGCACATCATGCATACACATATTTCTGAAATCGATATTCTTCTCACACAGATGAGCAAAAATAAGCAGCAAATAAAATGCCATCACTTCAAAAATCATACACAACTAAACTAGATATGAATTTGTGCTCAAGCAGAGCTACAATATCATTTAATAAACAGAGAAAATCAAATAGCCAACAAGCATGAACCTCAAATATCACAAAAACTGAAGAAATCAAACAACTTGGTCTCAAAATTAAACCTACCTTAGATCATAGGAGAAGTGGGTTCAGCGGTTGATGAAGTGTGTTCTCTTTACTCTTTAGCTTCATGTGATCAATGATCTCACTTTTAGCTCTGTACTTACGATTCTTGTCTTGAAAGTGAGCTTTAGTGACGTTGTTTTCTGATTTCCAGGGACCCACAATACAGCCCTTACACCTTGTCTCTTCAAATTTAATTTCCAGGGACCCACAATACAGCCCTTATTCGCAGTCTAAGTTGTGTGTAATTACCATGTAGTACCCTCAATTTGGAAAACTCAATGTTTCATCTACCGTTATGTTTCGTCCATCAAAATAGAGGTTTGATTAGTGTTGACTGTTGAGTGCCATTAAACATCAGTTTTACCCTTGTTATTCATTCCCGAAATAGTAAATATAAGTCACCAACCTTTTATTAGTCTTTATTCACATTATTAACAAATAAATAAATCTCCAAATTAGTAAAAATTAATAACAAACTAATAAAAACAATAATAAAAAAATGAACCCAAAGCTTCGAATTCAACATAATTTTAAAATATCTTCTATCTAACATAAATACAACAAACTACATATGATTATACAAACTCATCATTCCAAAATCATGAATTTTTAATAAATCAACCAAAAAAGAAATACAAAAATCAAACCCATACAAGATACAACCCAAATCAACACAATCAAAACCTATCACTATAATTTTTTTTTTTACAAAAACAGTGTTTTGAAAACTAGACCGAATCGGTCCAACCAGTGACCGACGCCTTCTCTGGTATTGTTCTTCACTAAAACCGGTAATAGCAGTCAGAGTAGATTGGCTTGCGGTTAGATAGTTGGAATAGTGTCAAATCGTGGTTCAATCGCAAGTCAATTCGGCCTGATTTTGACATCGTTCAACCTCTCTAACACCACCGTAAGTGTCGGCATCTCCACGACAAAACCCTACCATTTTCAGTCACCACCAACCTGTTTTTCATTGCTCGTTGTCCACCTCTTGTTCACACGATTGATGGCCTTCCTCCCTGATTTCGGTAGATTCTGGTGTCGTTTGATCTCCCTGACAACACCATAAGAGTTGCCAGCATCTCCACATCAAAAGCCCCATCATCCCAAACTTCAGTTGGCCACCAGTCGTCGTTGCCGTCACCAGTCTCTTTGTGCGCCTTCCTAGATTAAAGGGTTTTTTTTTTTTTTTTTTGGATTTCAAAACTGTAGGGACGCATGTAATTTTTTAGGAGTGTTTTTACTGGATTTCAAACATGCAGGGACTAATAAACTTTTAAGGGTGTGTTTGTCAGATTGGAATTGCTGACGTCACAGGTCGAACTGGTCAACCTAAGAACCGGGCCCTTGACCGAGTCAAAGGCCCAATCTTGTTTTCAGAACTTTAATAAAACCTTAAAACCTTGAATTCGTGGTGAAGGGAAGAAGTGTGTATTTAACCATTCTTTCATATTTAATAACGACTTTGCCTTTCTCTCTTCAGCAAATAGCAGTAACCAAGTCAAGAATGCCAGTGAGGTGGGGCGAATTTTCAGTAAGTAATGTAATTTACAATTTTCAACATAATGATAAATATTAAAAAAAATTATTCAATGCAATTATAATTTTCTACGATGCATTTAAATGTTTTGAAAACAATTATTATAAATATTGTTAAACACATCAAATAAAAGAAATGATACTAATTTTTTTTTAAAAAAAAAAAAAATACTATAAAAACCCTAATTTCTTAAAGGTAAGTTAAACTTAAAACCATTTAAAAATTACATTCCCTGATAATATGAAAGTTTTCTTCATCAAAACTATAATTTATTAAGTTTAGAAAAAAAAATATTGGCTTTACAATTTTTTTAACATGCAATGAATTAAATTAAATTTCTATAGCATTGGCTTTATTTACTTATAATCTAACTATTTTATTTATTTTGTTTTTGAACATGATTATTGGGTGGGACAATTTATAAAACATATGTTCTATTTAGAGTGTAACTATAAATTTATAAATTTATGTGTTTCTTTCAAATTGCAGGGATGGCAATGTTGGCTCCGCTAACAACCTCTATTAGAGAATACAGTGGTTATATTGTTATAATAACGTTATGTTTACAATTGAGTCATACAACCAAGTAAAAAATATAGGATAAAATAATCATTTTATATAAATTTTATAAAAATTTAATTTTATCTGATTGTATGACTCAGTTATAAGTATAACATTATTCATATTATTATTAAATTTAAAATAATGACTTTTGTTTTATTTAAGAATATCGAGACTGTGACTTCGAAGAGGGGATAAAGTGATTGACAAAACCATTGCATTGGCATGCCTCCAATTATTTTGGTAAAAATTGATTTGACACGCTGTCGTTTTATGTTCACGTACGATGAAATCCCTTGCTAGAAACCATATAAAAGAAAGGAAAAACCGAGAATAAAGTAAATTGGCTTTAAGCATTAAGCATAAACAAAACCAAATTTTAATTGATATTAATTGGGTTTTAAAGTATAAGGAATTATTGGTTTGGAATAAAATGACTCATGGAGTAGCCTTTTTGAGAATTGAAAGCCATAGAGTCATTCAATCTGAAATGGCGAAGTCAGTATCCAAGATCATTTGCTGCCAATACTACAGAAGCGGGTGAAGAATTTTTATGGTTGATTTTAAGGGAAATCGGCAAATCTGAATCACTGTACAAGTATGGCAAAAACAGTATCTTGTAAAAACAAGCTTCTTGTTTGCAAAGCTCTCAACTGGACAAATTATAAATCAATCAGGCTACTAGCTTTGTCCATTATCATATGATTGTCGATAATTTAGTATGTGACACAAAGAAACCCCAGATTGCCAATGAAAATCTTTGCAAAACACAAACAAAAACCAAGCATGCTTTGTGAAAATCATACTGAGATCTCTGTGAGTAAGCGAATTATGAATTCTGAAAGCAACTGAAACACACCAAGTGTCAATGCCTCATGTGCGTTAAATTGTACATACAACACAAAATATTTGAGTTTTTCAACCACACTATAGTCACAACAGAAATGCCAACTTCTCCAGAGCGTTATTCACAACTCAATTACACAACTCCTTGTTCCTCCACAATGTCGTTGAAACCAATCAATAATCTTCTTTTGCGTCTCCAAATCCGGCGAGAAGTTCTCGGAACAGATTATTGTTATCTTCTTCAGAACGATTGCATTTTGCAGCAAATGTTTTATCAGAAGTACTTTCATCACAGCCACACCAAACTCCGACAAGATCAGACTTTCAAGCAAGATGTAATACATGAGGGTACCAAATGAAAATTCAAACGTCTGGCTTTGTCGAAGTCCTAAATTACAATAAAAACTTACAGATTAGTAAAAGACGTCCCCTGTCTCATAAAATAGTCCATGGAATCTAACAGATCAAAACTCTATGCAAATGAGAGATAGAAATCAACAAGAAAGCAGCTAGGAAAGTAACTGAGAAAGTGCAAGAAAATTAAAGAAATGGGAGGGAAAGATTATGTAAATGCCGTGTGATATTTTTCTTATTGCAAAAACAGTAACAAAGTTTGTTTATATACAAACTGACCCCCGGTCAACAAGTCAACAAGTCAGCCTAAAATGAGATTGACTAATTGTCCTCTAAGGCTCTAAATGCATTTTATCACTCACATATTCAACATTCCCTGGTAAACAAGACCTCCATTGAACTTATATTAACAAAAAGGGATCACTTGATTGCCTATTTCAACATATCCTAACATTCCCTCGTAAATTCTACCTCCGTAGAGCAGCTCAGATGCCATCCAAAAATTGAGCACTTCTAATTAAACTTTTTCAGCACAACAGTATCAGCAGTAGTAAAGGATCAGTAGCTTGAATTTTCCAGCATAACAAAGGAAACAAAGACAGCAGCAGCAGATATAAAATCTTCCCGGCTATGTAATTGCAAAACAGAGCAATTCTAACTGAACTTTTCCAGCACAACGGCAATTTTAGTGCAAAATAGCAGCTCAATCTAAATCACTCAATCAATACAGCAGCCAAAGCAGATAGAATCCCTTACCTGAATTTAATCATCTCTTCAACTGGTAGCTCAGTCACTTTAACCATAAAACATAGCTCAAATGCTCAACCAAGAAACATATCAATCACTTAACCAAGAAGCATGTAAAATCAATCAGTGGGGAATATCAACACACAATCTCAGACTAAAGCAGTAGCTCAAAGCAACACAAAACAACAAGAATTATAAAATCAACTCAGACAGCTATTCTTTGCATTTTGCAGGCAAATCAGCAGACAGTTTTGAGGGGGGAACAGGGAGTAGCTCAAATGGTAAGTTTATCCCTCAAAGTTTCAAACCTAGAAGTGGAAAGAGCTTTAGTGAATATATCAACCTTCTGATATTCAGTGGATGCATACTGAACTTTAAGTTTATTTGTTGTAACTTGTTTCCTCATATAGTGAGCATCCAACTCAATATGTTTAGTTGTTTCATAAAAAACAGGGTTTGAAGCTAATGAACCTGCACTTTGATTGTTACACTAAATAATAGGGATTTCACTAAGTGTTAAACCAATTTCAGTAAACAAACTACCGAACCAAGTTAATTTAGTAGCCCCTTGAGCCAATGCTCTATACTCATCTTTAGTTGAGGATAGAGAGACAACTTTTTGTTTCTGAGAAGTCCATTACAATAAATTAGTGTCAAGGAAAACACAGCACCCACTGGTTGACCTTCTGTCATGGAGACTGCAGGTCCAGTCAGCATCTGTAAAGCATTCCAGGATAAATCTCTGATTTTTACTAAAAAAAGAGACCAAAATTATAGGCGCCTTTAATGTATCTGAGCAGTCTCTTGTAGGCTTGCTAATGCAATTGAGTGGAAGCCTTCAAAAATTGACTCAACTTATTCACCAAGTAGGAAATGTCTGGCCTGAATAAAGTCAACTTATTCACCAAGTAGGAAATGTCTGGCCTGGATAAAGTCAGGTACTGTAGGGCACCAATAGTGCTCTTGTAGAGAGCTAGATTATCATAAGGTGCACTATCATCCATAGAAAGTTTAGTACCAACCAACATAGGTGTGGGGCTTGGATTGCAATCAATCATGTTTGTTTTAACTAAAAGATCCTTGGCATACTTTTCTTGGCTCATATGAAGACCAAATTCATCTCGGGAGACTTCAAAACCAAGAAAGTATTTCAACGAGCCTAATGTTTTCAGGGCAAATTGAGTATTAAGGTGTTGAACAGTCTCCTGAACCAATTGAGAATCATTGCCTGTAAGGAGTATGTCATCATCCACATAGACTAATACATACATAATTTTCTCCTTGTTTTGGTAAATGAATAGACTATGATTAGCAATTAAGTGTACAAATCCCCAGTGAAGAAAAACCTTTTTCAGCTTATCAAACCAAGCCCTAGGGGCTGGTATAAGGCCATATAGTGCCTTGGTCAAATGACACACATCGTGTGGAAACTGTGAACTAACAAATACTTCAGGCTGGACCATATACACTCGCTCAGTAAGATCACAATTCAAGAATTCATTATTGACATCCACCTACTGAATATCCCAATCATAACTCATAGCCAAACTCATGATTACTCGAATGTTAGGAGATTTTACGACAGGACTAAAAGTTTCTAGGTAATCTATGCCAGGTGTTTGTTGAAACCAATTTAGATACCAATGTTGTTTTATATCTCTGAATAGTGCCATCAGGATTATGTTTGATCTTAAACACCCACTTACATCCTACAGTATGCATATCTGAAGTAGCTGGGATCAATTCCCAAGTATGGTTAGCCATCAAGGCATCAAATTTAGCCTACATGGTAGCTTTCCAAGATGGATCGAAAAGTGCCTGTGTAACTGTAGTTGGTTCCTTAGTGTCCAAAGAAGAAAAGGTGACTAAAGTTGTGTTATGTGCCCTGGCTTTGGACCTAGTGATCATAGGGTGTACATTTTTTGCTAAGGGTAGACTGTGGACATAGGGTAACTCAGCTGTCACTGGGACAATGTCAAAGGAAGTGTTTGATGGGAGAGATACTGGTGAAGAAATAGGAGCAAACACTAAAGATGTGGGCTATGTTTGGTGCTATGTTTTGGATGCAAGAGAAAACAAAACTTGTGATGTCGACACTGGTGAAGATATTGATTGAGAATGTGACTGGTTTTATGTGGTAGAAAGATTGGGAGTGTTGGAAGAAATAGACTGTGAGTTAGATTGACTTTGAGTGGTAGGACAACCAGAGGACAAACAATAAGTATGCTGTGTTTGAGAGGAATGTAGAGGTGGGATAGGCACATGCCAAGTATTGTGAACAGGAGAAGCTAATGAATTATCAGTAGAGGTAGAGACAATGACAGGTCTGGAATCCTTAAAAGGGAAATCAAATTCATCAAATTTAGCACTTTTGCAAATATAAATTATGCCAGAAACATCTAGGCATTTGTATCATTTATAATGCAAACTATATCCAATAAAAGTACATTTGGAAGTATGGAAATTAAATTTGTGTGAATTATAAGGCCTAAGAAAAGGATATACAGCATAACCAAAAACTTTAATGTCAGAATAATTGGGAATGCTAAGAAATAGCTTCTGAAAAGGTGATAGGTTAGATAGCACTAGTGAAGGCAACTTATTTGTGAGGTATGTGGCAGTTTGGAAAGCATGCCACCAAAATTTGAGAGACATACTAGGTTGGACAAGTAAAGTCAAGCCTTGTTCTACAATTTGTCTATGTTTTCTCTCAACTCTTCCATTTTGTTGGTAAGTGTGAGGGCAAGGATGCTTGAAATGGATACCATGAGCCTTAAAGTAAGGTACTAGGCTTCTATATTCCCCTCCCTAATCAGTTTGAACACATTTGAGTGTAGTGTCAAATTGTCTTTCAGCCAATTTATGGAATTATGTGAACACTTTATAGGTTTCATATTTGGCTTTTAATGGAAAAATCCATGTAAACCTACTATGATTATCTAAAAACTGTATGTAGTATTTGAATCCTTCAAGTGTAGGTATTGGAAAGGGTCCCCAAAGGTCAGAATACATTATATCAAGTGGTTTAAGGGCCTCAAAGGTAGGCCTAGGGTAAACTGACTGATGTAGTTTACCATATTGGCAGGCTTGAGAAAATGGAACAAGACCTGTGGCAGTGTTTGGTAAGTTCAAGTCTTTAAAGATTTTAGTGAGAACTAAAATATTAGGATGTCCTAATATGTTGTGCCACGACATAAGGTCAGTCTTTTTAGTAGCAAATGATTCAAAAACATGCATTTTATTGAGTACAGTTACAGTATTAAGATTTGATACATTGCTAGTCATAAATGTTTCAGTGTATGCATTATTTGACCGAGTAACAAGAGAATTACAATCTGAATTGAATGTATTTGAAACAGGAGCTAACAAAGACTTATTATTCGAAGAAACATTATTAGACTTAGTAAAATGATTAGACAAAGAAGCATTAGAATTATTAGAAAGCTTGGAATCAAAAGAGATAGCCAAATTTGGAGATGAGTGAGGTGATGAATGAGCTAGAACCTGGAGTCAATAAAGCCCAGCCTTAAGTACCCCTTGAAGTAGAATTACCCTGGAGGTTATGTCCTTAATCACATAATAGTTAGTATAAAACTCCATAAAAATAGGATTATCTCTAGTCAACTTAGACACACTTAGCAAGTTTTTGGTAATAGTAGGTACACTTAACACATTCCTAAGGTATAAAGGTCTAAATGCACAAGGTAAAATTGTTGAACCAATATGGGAAATAGACAATAACTCACCATTACCCACTTGGAGTTGCTCACCACTTGTGTAGTTGGAGCTTGCTGTCAACTATGAAAAGTCAAAGGTCACATGGTCTATAGCTCCAAAATCCATGTAGCATCTTGGATAGGATAGGGTGTGGCTATATAGTTGATGGATGTAGAAGTAGACTGATGAAGCTGTGATTCTGTTTTGAAGGCCTGATTGTGCACACCTGTGGGAACTATACTGGATTCAAAACTAGTGTTTGTATTGGATGAATGTGAGACTGTAGTGTATTGAGGAGTAAAGTCTTTGGAGGGGTATAGAAGTGCCAAAATTAACATTCTGTGAGTAAGAATGATGGGCTATGAGTGAGTAGTTGCCTTGATTTTGTGAGTAACCATGATGAGCTATAGGTGAGTAGTTACCTTGACTAGATTCAGGTGGTCTGGAGAAACCAGTAACATTAGGAAAACTAGAGTTATTTGTAAAACTAGGAGGACTATTTATGAAGCCAGGGGAGGATGTATGTTGTCCTATAAAGTGTACATCAAACCCATGATAACAATTCAGTGCAAGATGCCCTATTTTGCCACAATCTTGGCAAACAAATATGTATCTTCCTCCAGTCCTACCTCTACCTCTACCACCAAAGTAACCACCAGAGTAACCATTAGGGGATTGATGATTATAATATGAATTTTGAGCATGTCCAGGTGTAAATATGGCCTAGTTTTGAGTAGGTAAAGCATATGGTAAAGTGAAACTGTGATGTGGTTGATTAGGTTGAGGTAATGTATTATACTGAGTTTTTCCAACAAGATTTTGAGCATCTTGAAGTAATTGAGGTTTCTTATTGCTAGTATCTATGGCAAGGCTAGCAACATTGGCTGAAACTCCATGAAACTCATTATGAACAACTGAATTCAAAGCAAAATTTGCCTTTTCCAGCCTTGGTAGGATGATTTGAGCTTCTTGAATGGGAATTGGTTTAAGTCTTGATTCTAACTTAAAGGTTATATTGACTACTGCAGCATCATAATCTGAATCAAGGCCATCTAATATGTAGTTTAGAAGTTCTTCATCTGTGACACTAACTCCACTAGCCGATAAAATTTTGGCAAACCCTTTTATCTTAAGGAAATAGTGATGCATGCTAAGACCATCCTTTTTAGCGTTCTGTAACAAACTTTTAACATGCAATGTTTTGGCTCTAGATTTAGTAAGGAATTCCTTTCCAAGTGTAATCCAAATTTCAGCAGCATATTGACATTTAGCAATTACTGTAAGCATTGATTCTGAAATTGAGGATAGTAACCAACTGACTAAAAGCTTATCAGTTTTCTTCCACAAAGCATACTCAAGATTAGGTTTCTTGATTACCTTAGAGCTCGAATTTTCTAGTTGAATTCTAATGAATGGGGTAGGGCAAGAGACCAAACCAGTGAGATGCTCTTCAAGATAGTGGGAACCAATGGCGAAGAGTATTTAGGACTTCCAGAACTTGTGATGATCTTTCGTCAGCTTGGGTGAGATAACTGGAAGCGTAGACGATGAAATTCCAGATGAATTGTTGGGATTAGTTGAAACAGTGGAAGGTTTTGAGCTTGGATTTGTTTCAAATTGTCAAATGAAGAGGAAAATGAAGATTGATTGGCCATTATTGACATTTGTCAATGGCTTTGATACCAAATGAGAGATAGAAATCAATAAGAAAGCAGCTAGAAAAGTAGTTGAAAAAGTGCAAGAAAATGAAAGAAAAGGGAGGGAAAGATTCTGTAAATGCCATGTGATATTTTTCTTATTGCAAAAACAGTTACAAAGTTTGTTTATATATAAACTGACCCCCGGTCTACAAGTCAACAATTCAGCCTAAAATGAGATTGACTAATTGTCCTCTAAATGCATTTTATCACTCACATATTCTAACAATATATAAGCAAAGTAGTAATGACTGGATACTAATACTTAAAAACTTACAATTGGCATCTCAAGAGATTCTAAATTAGGTGACTTCCTAAGGAGGTACACCAACTATTTGACTGTGTACTTATCCTGCTTATTCACCTTCAAATGAGTTAAGTTGTGAAACCCAAGAGGAGAAACAACGAGATTTTCTTTGGTGTGGAGTCTATAGCAGTTCAAACTCTTGTCAAAAAAAGAACAAACATTAGAATTTCAAAGGTACAAAATGAACATAATAACAAACATCTAACCACATACAAGGACATATATAACAGACCAAAGAAGAGGAGATTGTCACAAAAGCCAACCAACTTTACGTTACTCTTGCAAATGGAAATCAAATTTCAAAATCCATAGCTTCCATTTGGCAAAACCGCAAAAGTGGCTTTTGTGATGCATTTTGAAAAAAAGAGTTAAAAACCTCAAGGGTATGATTTGACATGGCAAACTCCATCAAGTAGCTTTATTGCACGTTCATAAACCACTAGACCTATGTATTTCAAACCCTAAATGTCAATATATGAATCGACCAATGATGGTAAGTTGCATAGAAAAAGTTCCCTAGACAAATAATTTATGCATTTTAAGAGAGGTAAGATTTGGTGTAGAAATCCTAACATAACTATAAAAGAGATGTGGAAGTGGGTGGAGACGGTCGCGAGAAATAGTCAATGTCCTTATACTAGGAACGGAAATTGTGATCATCTCAAAATGCCTCCAAACATAGTTGTGCAAAACCAACTCTTGGAGAAGAGGAAAATCAGAAAAAAGAGTTCTGGTGAATCTGTTTTTTGGAAATGTAGCTGTAACATGTAAGGTAATGAGGTTGGTCATGTGTATGAGATCAGGAAATTAAATAATTGAATTCATCTGTAACTTCAATATCCTAAGTGATTCACAAGTAAATAGGTTATTTGGCAAAACAATGGCTACATCACTAGGTAGGGAAATATCAAACTCTTGAATCTGATACCTCACTGCCCGCATCAATCCATGCAGTAACTCGTAATGGGCAAACACTTATATCTAATTTTAGATGGAATTTTTGTATGTTTGAAGAGTGTTACAATCAGAAGCAGAACTGCAGAACCACAATCATCATCAATAAAAAATGATCACTTTTCAGATCAAGATAAGTGGCCGAGATTTACAACAGTTGCAGACTAATTCCTTGTACATTTGTAATAGCACTCACGTGTACTGTTTTAGGAGTGCCACTTGCTTTAGTCATGTTTAGAATTAGTATAAAAAGGCACTCTACCTTCAAGTGTAAAGAATTGAAAATTTTCCAGATTATAATAAATTTTTTGCAGATTCTACTTTTTTTGTTTTTCTGTTATTTGTTCTGTTTGGCTTACTGGAAAGTTTTTGCAACTGTCTTGCTTTCGATTCTAGAACTTCTTCATGGTATCAAAGCTCTTCAACTATTACTGACATGGATGATCTTGAAAACTTATCCAGCCCTAGGAACAAGACCAAGATACAGAACTGGAATAATCTGTTCACAGTAATAATTAGCTGAAGAACTTCAGCTTTCCAAGCTCCTTGCCTATTATTGCTGTGAAGTTAGGAGAAAAGAATCACAAATACTGGAGGTCTCTGTTAAACAATCCAAAGAAAATAATAAAAAGAGGAGGCTAGGGTTTCATTGATATTGCACAATTCAATTGAATACAAAAAGTATGATTTAACCTAAATACAAAGATATATATATAGGCTAAACAAAGGAAATAATGAAAAGACAAATCTACCCTTAATAAACAATAAAACAAAATAACCCATATTTCTTAACAGTCTCAAGTCTTACCAGTTCTCACATCATTTCAGCTCGAAGGCTTTTTTAATGGTCAACGACTTTGTCCTGAACCTTTTGTGTTGAGTAAAGATTTTGAAACTGGAGATCTAGTGAGAAAGCCTAACCTTGACTATTTTTTATGGAAAAGAATTGATCAATTCCTTAGGAGGTGGTTATATTCTTCAATTTCTAAATCAATGTTTGGATATGTTGCGAAATGTTCAGGCTCTTTTAAAATATGGAAAACATTAGAAAATCATTTCATCACTAAATCAAAGGCTAGAACAATGCATCTTAGAAACTTATTGCCAAACACAAAGAAAGAATCCTTAAGTATTAATGAATTTGTGCTTAATATGAAAGGATATGCTGATTCTCTTTTAGCCAGTGGAGTGATTTTGAGTATTGAAGAGTTTAATAGCTTACATTCTAGATGGCCTAGGTCTTGAATATGATGTTGTATCAGTGCATTTATTAGCTAGAGGAGATGATCTTACTCTTCAAAAGGCACAATTTTTACTTCATAAACATAAAATTAGATTGGAAAGGTACAATAGTGCACATAGTTTATATCATGATAACTTTGCCCTGATAGCACAAAAACAAACCTCTGTTCACCCTTATCATAATTTCAACTCAGGACAATTACCATATATCAACACAATTCAAAATCCTACACCTATGATAGCACCAATACCAGCACCATATACTCCACAAACACAGTATTTAGTACCTACTGTACACTACAATCCATCAGCACCAAATTTTAATACCTCAACCAACACTTTTCCAACTTATAACTACACTCAAAACTCATCAGGTCATATATTAGCTTCTCCTTTTTATCCTCATAATGCCTTAATGGTATAAGATGTAAGAAGAATCAATCCAAACTCTAGACGAGGAAGAGGTAAAAACTTCCTTAAGCCTAGAATTTTTCATCAAGTATGTGGAAAACTTGGTCACACGGCTGTGCAGTGTTATCCTAGAGTTGATTTTTCCTACAATAGTCCCCAAAACCAATCTCAACAACAATCCTTGTCATAAATCAAACTAAATTCTTAGAACAAGCAAATTAAGTCTACTATTTACAAAAAGATCATGGTTCTACAAATCATTCAAAAGAAATCAGAACAACATTTACACCACGATCTGATTCATCACAACCATAGTAAAAACAGCAGCAAATCTCTCATAATGTAGCTCCAGTGTCCTACTTTGCTCAGCCAATTTCAGTGGCTTCTCAATGGTATCTTGATTTTGAAGCCACCAGCCACATCAGTTCAACTGTTCAACCTCTTGGTACTGGCAAAGCTTACAGTGGACCAAAAAAGTTACAAGTTAGAAATGGTTAGTGTCTCTCTATTACTCACATTGGTGATCTTTATTTTCCTACCTTATTATCTTCATATAAATTACTACTACACAAAGTGTTAGTTGTATCTCAAATTACAAAAAAATTGATCAACATATCAAAACTTACTCAAGACAATGCAATTAGTGTTGAGTTCTTTGCTGACTTATGTGTTATAAAGGACAAGGTGACACAAACAGTTCTGCTAGAAGGCAAACTTAGTAGCCTTGCACTCCTATGTTTCTCGAAGCAACTCTACAAGACCATCAACATTTGATTTTGTCAATTCTATTCCAAGAATAAATTCCTCTGCATATACAGATTTTGTTTTTCTAGTCAATAACTCAAGTCTTCAAAACTTGCATTTGACAAATGTACCTACTGCTATTAGTAAATCTGATCCAGTTGTATGGCGTATGAGGCTTGGCCACCTCATTATAAGATCTTTTAGGCTGTTGTAAATAATACACTAAATAAAAAGCTTATTGCTTTAGAATCAATATTGCAAAAATGTTCAACTTGTAAGTTTGGAAAATTACATCAGCAACCTTTCTCTCAATTAGCAACAGTCAATACAAAGCCATTGGAATTAATCTTTGCTGATTTATGGGGTCCTTCACCAGTGGTTTCAAAGGAAGGATACGAGTATTACATAGTTTTTCTGGATGATTTCAGTTGGTACTCTTGGATATATCCAATAAAACAAAATTCAGAAGCCTTTGATATCTTTAAACAATTCCATGTATTTGTGGAAAAGACAATTTGAAACTCAACTAAAGTGCATTCAGACATATTGGGGAGGTGAATTTCGATGTTTTTTTTACCTTACTTAAACTCCCATGGTATTAAATTCAGACATCCATGTCCTCATGTTTATCAACAAAATGGAAAAGTTGAGAGGAAGCATCGGCATATCACAAAAATTGGTTAACCTTGCTGGTTCACTCTTCAATGCTCTTTCAATTCTGGTGGCATGCATTTCACACTATTGTTTACTTGATAAATAGACTGCCAACTCCAGTTCTTTAGTACTTATCTCCTTTTGTGAAATTGTTTCACAAGGCTCTTGACTATAATTTGCTAAAGGTCTTTGGTTGTAGATGTTTTCCCTACTTTAGACCATACAACTCTTATAAGCTGGATTATCCTTTTTTTTTTTTTTTTTTTTTTGCTAAGTAT